CCCCCCGCCCCCTGCCTCCCCTCTGCGGATTCTGACCCTACCCACCATGCAGCAGAGTCCCCTCGGGGCAGAAGCAGCCCTCCACACAGGCGACAGCCTGGCAGTGCCACCCGGGCTCAGAACCACGGTCATGGCAGGTCGGGGGACACATGGGGCCACAGGCCTCATACACCTGGCCCCCTTCACACTGCAGAGCTGGGGAGAGAGGAGAGAGGCTTGGGTCACTGAGGTGCAAGGGCACCAGGATGCAACAGCAGCAGGCGAGCGAGCCCAAGATGAGACCCACGGAGGGCACGGGGAGCCCCGTGTAGACTCTTGCTGAGCCCCTCCCAAGGCTGTGTGCAACATGAAAGGTCTACGGGAAAGCAAGCTCGGCATGCTTGGTTCATCTAGAAAAGCGTGCCCACCACACATATTTGCCCTTGAATGATGCATGGCTTGCTTGCAGGCCAGGAGGAACATCCACGAAGGAGCTGAGGGCACAATGGGATTGGGCACTGGGGACCGAGTGCAGGGCACACTCACGGCAGAGCTCCTGGCTACGCCAGCGTGCAGGGAGCCCATGGCGGGCACACTCGTCTGCATAGGTGGCAATGGCCGAGCAGAGACACACACAGTCGCCCCCTGAATCGCAGCTGTGGAAGGGATCAGTCAGCCCCTGGAAGCCGTCCGCACCCCCTGGCCCCCATTCCCAACCTGTCCCCGGCTCGCCCCTCTCACCTGCACGCGTCACACACACACCACTCATAGTGCTGCTGCGGGGGCACCTCTGCGTGGCCCCGGGCAAAAGTGACTGTGGCATCACCCCGCAGCGGCCGCAGGCCCGGCTGGCCTGGTGGGCGTTCACCTGTGGGCATAGCACCGTGGGCCAGCCAGACCCCATCCGCAGCACCCGGCCTCCGGATCCTCCCTCCCGGCCCCCACAGGTTTCCTGCAGCAGCCCCCCACGCCCTTCCCCCTGCCGGCCGGTGCTCGCGGTGCAGGGGCGTGGCAGGTCTCCCGGCTCGGGGCAGAGCGGCCTCAGGTGCCAGGAGTGGGCAGCCAGCTCAGCTGTGGGTTCCGGGACGCCCTGGCGGCTCGGCAGGTCATTACTGGCATCTCCATCAAAATCTCCACTCAGCCCAGACACACGGCCACGGAACCGTGGGGACAGCTGTGCCAGGACCCGGGTGCCTGGGCAGGGAGGGCAGCAGGGGGCAGCATTGTGGAGAAATGACCCCATGGGCCTTCCTCAGGGCCAGGGGCGGGAGAAGACCAAGGGCGGGTATTCTGTGGGCCTGTTTGACCGTCTGCACAGGTACCACCACCTGGTTTTTTGCGGAGGCTGATTGGCGGTGATAAGAGACATACACCTCGGGGGGGCTAGGGCAAAAGTGGGAGCCTACTTTCCCAACCAAACCCAGGTTAGGGGGAGCAGGGAAATTCTCCAGCGGGCTGGATTCCGGGCGGGAACCAGGCTCCAAGACAGACTGTGACACCCACCAGCCCCAGAGACCTTGGTGGCCGGAGGCTCAGAGGGCAGCCCCACCGTGCTGACCAGACAACCCCTTCCCATGCCAGGGGTTACTTTGGTTTTCCTCAATTTCTCAGTAACTGTTATTTCTAAAATGCCAACTGCTTGGGTTTGGGTGGTGGGAGGTTAGGTTTATTTTCATTTCTTCTTTCCCAAACTGTGTATTTTCTAAATGTTTCTTTGGTGAGGAGGTATTGCTTTTACATTGAAGAGAAACATAATTTTAAAAACATAATTTGGGAACTCCCACCACTCGTATGGAAGAGGAAGAGTCGGGGGGGTAGGGGGAGTCAGCCTCATGATGCTAAGGCGGGCGTGGGTCAGGGGTGGGGGCCTGACCTCCATCCCAGAGCAGGCTGAGGCCCAGGGGGGTCGTGAGCAGCAGGAAGAGACCAGCACGGCGCAGGCTCAGCCCAGGGCCTGTGTAGACCTTGGGGGCCGTTATGCTCACACCATTCACCATCACTGCCCGGCCTATGGAGGAAGAGAGGCGTTTGGGCTCTGCCTTGGAGTCGAAGGGCTCCCAGATCCCCAGGAACCCCTCCCCAGCCTGCCTCCAACTTTCCTTTGGCTTCTCCAGCTATGTGCCCTTGGGCAAGTCATTAGGCCTCTCTGGGCTTTAATTTCTTGGAGCCTTCCAGAATTAGGATTCCCAGCCAAGAGAAGAGAGGAGAGGCACCAGCCCCGCTGCAGGGATGGGGAGCGGTGGGGGACCCCAGGCCTTGGCCCCCCCGCAGAAGTGTGATGCTGGCCGGCGTGCCCCTCCCCCCGGCAGTGCCACCCTTCCACGTTGCAGCCACCTCTGAGCATGCGCACAACAGTGCTCCGTAGTTGCCCGGTCAGGGCCTTGGTGCAGGTGAGCCCACTGGCCCCACAGGGCAGGTTCTGGGCAGAGACGCTGAACCGGCCGCTGGCCTCTCGAACCAGCAGATACTCGCAGGCTCCAGGGAAGGTGAAAGCCAGCCCATCGAAGGTCACGTAGTGGGGGGCACCCTATGCCTGGCACCATCCGCCGCACCAGTGGCCCGTGCAGTGCCACTGCCGAGCCTGACATACACTGTGGGTGAGGGGTGGGGGTGGGGAGAGAGAGGCATGAGGACAAAGACCCAGGGCTGTATCCAGGGGATGTAGCTGTCCAGATTCCAAGCAGCAGACCCTGAATGTGCGGCAGTCCTGGAGAGCTCCCCTTGCCCAGGCCAGTCTGGATATCCCACCTCATCCCAGTTCAAGGGGCGAGGCATACCAAATGTTGCAGTCCTCCTGGATGGTAGCATTGGGCGGATACCACTGCCCTCCGTGACGGCAGGGACAGGGCTCAGGAGGCACGCAGCGCTCGTTCTGGGCAGAGGCCAGGGACAAAGGGGCACCTTGGGGGGCTGCCTGACCCACCACCCACTGTTTCAGACACCCAGGGGGGCTAGGGCAGCGCCCTGGGTGGAGTAGGGGCCACGGGGCCTCGTGCAGCCCCCTCCCAGACTTACCAGCAGCACGGTGCCTGGGGGACAGACACAGCTCCCTGTGCTGTCCGGGGGGCAGGAGTGGTTGGCACCAGGGCTGTCACATGTGAGGAGGCAGGCACCAGGGACATGGACAAGGTCACGGGGGCAGAATGTCTGCTGGGGGCCACAGTGTGAGCAGAGCAATTCCAGAGGCCCCTCTCCTGACAGACACTGCCAGGGATGGGAGGCAGGTAAGAGGCAGGTCCAAGGCAGGCCCAGGCGCCTCTGGTCTGACCTGGGAGAGTCTCAGGAACCCACAGAGTCCAAGCCCCTAACGTTGACTCTGGAGACCTGAGCATCTCACCCCCCACACCTCAGTTACAAGCACAGGAAGTGGGGCTGCTCCCTGCACCAGCCATATGTGGGAGGGACATGGTCACCCTTTCCTGCCCCAGCTCCAATGGGGCCATTCTCTGGGCTCTGAGGTTCTCAAAGAACCCCATTCCCAGCCACGTAGGAGAGGGATTCTCTGAAGTCTCATCCTCACCCACCAAGCCCTGGCCATTGGCCCTGCCTCCACAGGTCCAGAACTGGCCTTTACTTCTCCCTAACCCTTGGAAGAGCCTCTGGACCACACTCAACCAGAATTCAGAGATCTGGGTTCTAGTCCTTCATCATTAAACAGCTGTGTGACTCTGCAAGCCGTGTGGCCTATTAGAGCCTCAGTTTCCTCATCTGCAAAATGGGAACAATTCTTCCACTTCCTACTTTACTAGGTCATTGTAAGAATGAGGTAGAATTACATAAGATGATGTACAAGGTGCTTTATAGGCCTGAAGTGCTCCACAACGAGGCGAAGCCATGAGTGCTCTGTCGCCAGCGCGAGTGCATGCCAGGCCCTAACCCACAGGGCTACAAGCCCGGCCCCTTTTCTCTAAGTTCCACTTCTTCACCCCCAAGCTCTGTGCCTCCCCCCAAGGCCACTGCCCTCACCAGCGGTTGCAGTCCTTCATGGTGGCACTGCCAGGGGCATAGCGATGAGTTCCAAGCTGGCAGGAGCACAAGCTGGGGGGCACGCACTCGCCCTCGGGGTCCCACAGCAGTCCTGGGGGGCAGTTACAACCAGCCACACAGCTGCCCAGCTCCCCACAGTCTTCTGGCTCCCCACAGTTTCGACCACACGCTGGGGTACACTCCTGGCACTCCTGGCCCCCAGGACACGGGACAGCTGGGCACAGAGACACATGCAGGTCAGGGGCATACCTGCTGCTGCTTGGCCCGCCCTTCTGGAATTCCGAAACAAGGCAAGTGCAGCAACCTGCCAAGGTCCGAGGGCCTCCTGGGCACCTTCCCCTGCCGCAAAGCTTTTGTATCCCTCTGGGCTATTGCTAGAAGGGGCTGGGAGGAGGAGCCTCAGGGTGGGGCTGGCTGGCCGAGCCGACTCACGGCAGAGCGTGTGGGTCCTCCAGAGAGACCAGGCACCCTCCCGGGCACAGCGACGAGCAAAGGCAGCGAGCACGGGGCACAGGCAGTCCTTGCCAGGAGCACAGCCGCACACAGCTGCCAAGCAGCGCAGGTGGAACGGCTCCTTGTCCACCAGCCCTTGGCATTCCTGAGGGGGGAGAGGAGGAAAAAATTGGGTTGGCTCCCCCTCCACAGATTGCCCTATTCCCTTGGGTCCCCACTGCCACCTCCCTGGGCTTAGTAGCCCAGCCACGGCAGGGAACAGGGCCCTCCCAGTAGCCCAGGGCGAGGGCAGAGCAGGTGTTGACCCCATCTTACAGGTGTGAACAGGAGCACCCCCAATCTGGCTCCCTGGAAGGTGGGGCCGTGCAGGACAGCACAAGCTGCCTCCGCAAAAATGTGGCGCTGAGTGTGGGTGCCGCAGGGGGAAAGTGGGGCGCTGTCGTCTGTGGGGCAGCTTCCCTCGCCTGCCACCTGGAACTTGCTAGCAAAGGCTGAAATGCTGGTCTCCATATCGCCAGCAGGTATCAGGAAGTCATCCTGCTGGTTCCAGGTGAAGGTGCCACACAGACCCTGCACCTAGGCCACAGGAGTGGGCATGGGACAGTCAAATCCTGGCCCACCGTGGCCTTGCCCAGCCACTCACCTGCCCCCAGCACACCTGGTGGGCATGGCGGGGGTCCAGAGTGATGTAGGTTGCGGGGTCAGACACTCCCCAGAGAACCTGGGCCCCAGGCCAGCGCAGCAGTAGGAAGGTGGAGGAGGCTCGGGAGACACTGAGGCCCTTAGGCCCACGCCACGGCAAGCCCACGTCCTGCCCATCGATGAGTACAGCCCCTGGAATAGGGGGCCTGTGAGGGGCTACTCCTTCGGGATTGGGCTGATGAGGACTGGCGGGGAGCACACCGCAGGAGAGGGCTACCTGAGTCTCTGAGCTGGATGTGGGTGTCCCCCAGAGAAACAGAGATGGCGTGGAGGCAGTTCCCAGTGTCACAGGCCCCATGCTCTAGCACAATCAGCAGCTGCCCCTTCAAGTCCTAGGGCAGATGGTGAGGAATGTGGAAGGGTGGAGGTGGGGAAGACCCCGAGAACAGGGTCTGTTCTGCACCCTCTCCTGTTCTACAGGACACCTACAGCACCCACCTGGAGGCAGCTCCCACCCAACGCATGTGCTGAGCACCTTCTTGCCAGCCACACTCTCGGTGAGGTATAGGGCTTAACCCTGGCCAGCACTAGCACTTATGAGTATCTCTATGTGTGTGTGCACACAGGCATGCGTGTGTAAGTATGTAGAGGTGTGTGTGCATGCACGTGTGTGTGCGTGTTGATGCAAGATGCCTCCCCTGCCTGCTCCCCGCAGGTATGCATGCTCATCTCTCTGTTTCTGTGTACGCACGTGCTAAATCTGCGGCATATGTCCACATCTGTTTGTGTCTCTGGACCTGAACTTGGTAAGTCACCTAACTGGATTGGGGAAGGGCTGGGGAGGAAGGAGAACCCAGCTTTCTCCTGGGGTTGTTTTGCAGGAAATAGCCCGTGATAAGCCCAGCCAGTCCGATCTGTGAGAAAGGACTGTGAGGATGGGTTTTGCTTTGTGCCCTGGGCTAGGGCGGGAACATTCACGGGAACCTAAGGCGGAGGCGAGGACCCCAATGGCAGGTTTTAGGGGTCTGCGGCAAGCCATCCTCCCTCCAGAGTCGGTTCTCTCTCAGCTTTTCCCGGAATGACTGTGTGTTTCTCATTGATTTATGAGGAGAAACAGACATCTCGCCTACAGCGCCCCACTGAGGGCTCCTCCGGGCGTTAACCCCCTACCCACCTGCACCAGGCTGGAGCCGCAACCCAGGCGGCCGCGGAAGGAGAAGCTCCGCCCATCGAAGGTGAGGTAATGCCCGTCCCCGCCCACCGCGCACTCGGCTGGGCACGGCGCCTGCGCGCAGAGCCAGCGGCCGTCCTGGTACACGCTGTGGGCACACGGGGCGGGGAGCGCGCTCTGATTCGGAGCCCACGACCTCCTGCCCCCAGCCAACCCCGTGGCCCTCCTTCCGCCAGCAACCCCTGTAACCCTGCAAGGCCTGGAGGTCAGCTGGTGGAGGTCCCTGGCTAGGTCTTTAAGCAGGGCCATCAATTATGCCAGGAGAGGTCACAGGTCCCTTGTGAGGGGCCCCCCGGAAGGGGAGGCAGGTTGAGGAGATAGCATAAGGGAGGGCTCCGAGGGGACCACGCGGCCAAAGGGCCAGCGAGGCCCGCGGACCCACCAGGGGTTGCACAGCTGGCGCACGGTGTCCCCGGGGTGCCGGTGGTCCCAGAAGAGGCCGGGGGGCACGCGCAGCCGCTCACGCACGCTTCCCGGCAGGACCCCTCCCCTCCTTCACCCACTGCTGAGCAGCTGGCTGGGCAAGCCGAGGCGCCTTCCGAGTACAGCTGGCCCCCAGGGCACAGGCGCTCTGTGGGCATGGGGGTGGGCTGTGAGGTCCAAGGGTCCCCCTCCTCCCGCCAGACCCCGCTTGCCTGCAGCCCAAAGAGAGGGCGCGTGGGAGGAGGCCCAGCGCTCAGGAAACCAGGGTCACAAGGGCTGCTGTCAGAATGGTCCCAGTTGCGCAGGGTGGGGACACCAGGGGCTATGCAAAGAGGGACAGGCACCAGCCCTACCGCAGAATCCTGGCTTCCTCCAGCCCACATGGATATGCTGCTTGGCACACTCCTGGGCATAGTTGGCCAAGGTGGTGCACACGGCTTCCCGAAGGGCCTCTCGCCCACTGCCTGCTGGGGCCCCAGAACAGTAGGCAAAGAGGCAGGCCTGGTGGTTCTCAGCAGGGGGAACCTTCAGAGAAAGGACAGCCCCTCAGTCAACCGCCTCACCAGCACTCCCTCCTCTTGCTTCAATCATGCTCTGACTTAGAATCAAACAGAATGAGCGCTAGAAGGGACCTCTGAGATCATTCGTTCAGAGCAACGACAGGACCAGATTCCCTGTTTGGCACCTCTCTAGCACCCACTCCTTCCCGCCCCTTTGGTGGTGGATACCACCTCCACCCCCACCCATACCTGGGCATGGCATCCCCTGAATGGACTGTCCAGCAGCTGGTGGCACACATCCTGGGCTTCAGCCTCCGTGCCTGCCTCTTTGCCGCTCAGGGGGTCCTCACAGCCCTGGGCTGCCTCCGCTGAATCCAGACACCCAGGCTGGAGACAATTGAATTCAGGTCAATGGGGGAGGGGGGACACTAACCAGGACACCAGGAAAGTGGCCACTACCCTCATGGCTGCTTCAAGTCCCCACTGTCATGGCCACCAGCCCAGACAACCTGGGGTTTTGGGGGAGCAACACAGTTGTAAGCTCTGGTAGGGGGTGGGGGAGCTGGGATCACATCAACCCACAGGCAGGAGGTTTCATAACTAGCTAGTTAACCAAAACTGGCCAGTGACCAGGTTGCTGAGTGTGTCCCCTGGGTGGTCAGTTCACCACTTGAAGTCCATGGGATCCTGAGCCTGCCCCCCACCAAGGGTCTGGGAGAGGGCCAGGCCCTGTACCAGGGAAAAGGCCAGTGATGAAGACAGAGAACAGAGGCTTGAAGGTATCACAGAAGCCGGGAGCTGGGGAGCAACCAGGAGCAGGGCAGTGAGCCTGGGCTCCCTGGGGGCTGTAGTCTCACCTCTGAGTCAGGGAGCCTCCAGGAATTCCCAAAGGTGGCAGCTAACACAGCCAGTCTCCCTCCAGGCTCCAGGAAGTCATCTGGGGAAGGGCGAGGCAGAGGTGCCCTGTCTGGGCTCTCCAGTCTTTCCTTCCCTCCTATACCAGCAACCGAGTCATGCCCATTTACCCTCAGGCTGGCCATTGTAGACTCCACAGAGACCTTGAGTTTGTCCCTGGAGCTCAGAGTCCACAGAAACGGAGACCGAACTGGACCTGTCCAGGCGCACAATGACCCCCAGGCCCCCTGACAGCACCAGCCAGTCCCCTTGCCACTGCAGGCTCAGCCCTGGGCAGGAGAAGGCAGGAGTCACACTTCCCACCCCTCCCACCATCACACCAAGGCGCAGACTGCTCAGGGAAGGAGAGGAGATGGAATTCTGACAATTCTAGAGAATTCTGCACTTCATGCTCTTTAAAGGAGAAGCAACTGGTTTTCCAATCAGAGCGCTCTTTGAGAAGCTCGCGGACACTACAGATGCTCTCTTGAGCAAGTAACTCCAAGAAATAAGTAAACTACAAAGCTCTTGTGAGCACACACACACACACAACCCCACCCCCACCTCACTTCATGGACCGAAGACCAGGAAAAAAGCTCTAGTAAGACAGGGTCCCACCTAATAGCACAAAAGCCCTTCCTCCCAGCACTGAGAGGCAGGCGGGGAAAGAGGTTTGTTGTGGGTTTTGTTTTTTTTTTTAAGATTTTATTAAAGGATTTATTTATCTGAGCGAGAGAGAGATTACACAAGCAGGGGGCGGGGCAGAGGGAGAGGGGAGGAAGAGAATCCCAAGCAGACTCCCTGCTGAGCTTAAGGCCTGGCATCGGGCTCCATCTCATGAACCCGAGATCATGACCTGAGCTGAAATCAAGAGTCAGAGGCTTAACCAACTGAGCCACCCAGGCACCCCTTAAAGATTTTATTTTTAAGTAATCTCCTCACCCAACGTGGGGCTCAAACTCCCAACCCTGAGATCAAGAGTCCCTTGCTTTACCAACTGAGCTGGCCAGGCGTCCTGATACTCAAAGAGGTTAGTAAGGGACTGGCCCCAAGCCACACTGTGAGGGAATGAGCAGGGGTGGCTTGCAGGAGTCAACCTGGAGACTAGGTCCATGACCTCCATGACTCAGCAGGCTCCCTCATTTCCAAATACCCCCCAGTCGCAGTGGGGGTGGGGCAGCAGTCTCCCACTCAGCTGCCCCTTTTGCTGTCCCCTGCCCCCGGGGGTAGGCAGGCTGTCCCCGAGGAACAAATGGGGCCCTGGGAAGTCCCCTGCTGCCTACAGTACCGTGGAGCAGCTGAGACTCCCCATCAGGTACCAGCTTCCCGTTCACAGAGACATTTTTGCCCTGGATCAGCACCTCCTCGGGTCCCATCATTACTCGGGCCTTGCGGGAGACAGAGTGGAAGAGGTGTTCAGTGGCTCACCTCCTCCCCCTGTGCAGCTCCCTTCCTGTGTCCTTCCCCACCTCCCTCCCTCACCAGCTGACAGTGCCCAGGCTGGGGGCAGTGCCCCCTGGGCGTGAGGTGGATGGCCCCGGTGGCATCAGCAGCGCCCGCCAGCAGGTAAGAGCAGCGGCCCAGGAAGTGGTAGTGGCGCCCATCACAGGTCCGGTAGTGGAAGCCTGACCAGGTGGCGCAGGTGGCCGAGGGCCGTTGGCACTGGCTCCAGAACTGGGCCACGGCCCCCGCCAGGGGCTGCAGGAGGGCTGGAGGGGGAGTGCTGCCTGGAGGAGATACACCGACTGTGAGCCGCTGAGTGTGAAGGCAGGAGGGTGGAGGGTGAGGACGTGGGGCTTCCCCCAGAGCAGGAGGCAGGTGGAGAGTGAATGGTCACTCTGGAGGTGGGAGGGATGGGAGGCAACTCATCCAAGAGCGCAAGGGAATGGGCATGGGCCCTGCAGGAAGGCCCAGAGCTCAAGGATTCTATGTGGCAGTGCCTGGGCAGGGGGAGAAAGTGATGGCCAGGGCTGCAGACCCACGTGGGAGGGGTCGGCTGGAGCAGCTGAGGCAAGCCTGGGAGCTGCCCTCCCGCCAGCTCTGTCCCCAAGGCCAGGCACAGCACTCCTCCAGGCTTCCTGCCGAAGGGTTAGCTGAGCCTGCCTGCTGCTGGCACTGCTGAGTGGCAAAGCAATGGCCCCCAGGGCTGGCTTCTGCAAGGGCTGTGGCAGGTGGAGGGAGAGAATGGGGCGACCCAGACAGTCAGCCTGGACCCAGCTTCCCTCCCCGGGGAAGGCTCCACGAAACCACAGATCTGGGCTAATAGCAGGTGCTTACCCAGGGTGCAGTGGCTGCCCCCCGAGCCTGGGCAGCAAGCCTTCACTGTCCGGTTCCTTGCAGCAAGCTGGGTTTCTGGGGCCCTGGGTCCACTGAAAGGGCAGCAGGGAGAAGATGTTAGTGTTCAGCCCAGCCCCGTCCCTGTCTCTGAGAATGGCCTGGGACATTCAATCTGGCCATCTGTTCTCTGAGTGACTCTCTCATGTAATTTCTCTTCCAAGTCTTTTTTTTAAATATATTTTTGGGAGTTTTTTTTTTAATAATTTAAATAATTTTTTATTGTTATGTTAATCACCGTACATTACATCATTAGTTTTTGATGCAGTGTTCCATGATTCATTGTTTGTGCATAACACCCAGTGCTCCACGCAGAACGTGCCCCCCTCAACACCCATCACCAGGCTAACCCATCCCCCACCCCCCTCCCCTCTAGAACCCTCAGTCTGTTTTTCAGAGTCCATCGTCTCTTGTGGTTCATCTCCCCCTCCGAAGAGTTTTTTTTTTTTAAAGATTTTATTTATTTATTTGTCAGAGAGAGCACAAGCAGGGGGAGCTGCAGGCAGAGGGAGAAGCAGGCTCCCCGCGGAGCAAGGAGCCCGATGTGGGACTCGATTCCAGGACCCTGGGATCATGACCTGAGCCGAAAGCAGATGCTTAACCTACTGAGCCACCCAGGCGTCCCATTTAAATATATATTTTTTAAGATTTTATTTATTTGAGAGAGAGAGTGAGTGAGTGAGAGCGAGTATGAGCAGGGACAGGGGGAGTGGGTTGAGAGGGGGAAAGGGAGAGGGAGAAGCAGACTCCGGCTGAACAGGGAGCCTGATGCCAAAGCAGGGCTTGATCCCAGGACTCTGGGATCGTGACCTGAGCCGAAGGCAGACGCCTCACCGACTCAGCCACCCAGGCGCCCCATCTCTTCCAGGTCTTAATTTCCCCTTGTGCAAAGTGAGAATGATGTTGGGAAGGCTGACTGGAGGGGAGGCACACGGAGCAGACATTGTACCTCTCCCCACACTGCCTGCTCCCTGTGCTGCCTGTCCCCAGCCCCACACCCCTGACTCTTCTTGAACCCAGCCAGACCTATTTCCCAAACGCCTGCTTCTCCAGGACACCACCCAGTTCACCTTCCCCCCAGAATGTTGGCTCCAGTCCTCTCTCCTGCTCAGCAGCTACCCCAGGCGCCGACCCTCGCTCACTTATAGGTGGGACAGAGCCCGGCACGTCCACTCCAGGACAGGTCCAGCTGCCAGCCCAGGCGCTGGTAATAGTAGAGGCTGGTGCAGGGCACCAGGTCCTCCTGGCGGGGGGCCACTTCCTCCTCCACCAGGAGGTTCGTGTATGTTCACACCACCGCCTGCCCACAGATGGGGAATGGCAGCTACTGCCACCAGCCCCTCTATTGCCAAGAAGCCCTGTCCTGTGGTCCCACTCCCCAAAGAGCCCCTCCCAGGGAAGGGTTAGTGAACTGAAGAGGAGGCTGGCTGGGAGCAAGAAGCATAGGGGAGGGCACCTGGCTGCTCCAGAGGGTCCTGTTCGTGAGGCAGGAGCAGAGGATCTTAGTCAGAGGGGCCCCAGGCTGGGCTGCTTACCCGTTAGCCAGTGCCCATGCCATCCCAAAGAGGAGGGCAGGGAGCAGCATGGTGCTCCCCGCCCAGGTCACCTTTGGGGGGCTGTGAGGCTTGGGTTTGGGGAAGGCACTGCTGCGACAGGTGAGCGGAAAGGCCAGTGCTGGCCTTCCTCGCCCCACACTGCAGTCTCTAGCAGCCAGACTTCAATGTGTCCAAGGCAGCCAGACAGCTAGAACGAGGCCCGTGGGGCTGGGGAGGCTTTATCTCAGCCCCATGCCCCGGGGCACCAGCTGCTCAGAACCAGACTGGACCTGCCTGCACACGGCACAATCCCCTCAGAGGCCAGCTCTCCCTGGAAACAGTCCCCTTCCTGTCCCTCGTGTGTGTGTGTGTGTGTGTGTGCGCGCGCGCGCGTGCGCACGTGCTTACTCGTGTCTGTGCGCTCAGCGGGGGGGTGCATGTGGTCCAGGTCACAGCCAGACACCCTGAGCCTCTGATATTTTTCCACCCTCAGGCTGTGCCATAAATTAAGGTGGACTCCGAACAAGCCACCTCCTTCTGAGCCTCAATTTCCTTGCTAGTAAAAAATTTAGGGGCTTCCCAGGGATGCTTGGGGGTGACTCAGGGGCTCCACTTTGAAATTGTGTGTGTGCAGGGGCGCCTGGATCAGTTGTTAAGCATCGGACTCTTGATTTCGGCTCAGGTCATGATCTCCGGGTGGTGGGATCAGGCCCTACGTTAGGGCTCCGTATTCAGCGTGGAGTCTACTTGAGATTCTCGCTCTCCCTCTGCCCCTCCCCCCCTTGCACCTGCTCTCTCTCTCTCTCTCAAATAAATAAATCTTAAAAAAAAAAGAAATTGTGTGTGTACACATTTTCCTGAGGATAGTTCCATAACTGTTATTACATTCTCAAGAGGAACTAGGACCCCACAAAATGGTTAAGTTATTGTGCCATATGACTGATATGGTCTTCTAGCCCTAAACTTGACTGTGATTCTCTCCCTGCTCCCTTCCCTGCCTCCTCCTGCCCCCTCTTGTAGGCAGTAGGCACTTGTGAAGCCAGGACCCCAAGTCCCCCCCCCCGAAACCGGAGCAGAAGGAGCTGAGTTTCCAGGCTGGTTGAACTGTGTGAAAGCAGTGGGAGAGCATGTGCCCTTTCCTCTGTGGTCCGACTTCTTACTGGGGGTGATTATGTGTGGCTGGCTGGGTCCATTCTGGTCTCCTTTTGAGAGAGTCTCCTAGGGTCCAGAACCAGGAAGCCTGGGCAGGGGAACAGAGCAAGACTCCGGGAGGAGTGGCAAGGGAGGAAAGTGTGTGTGTTGCGGGGGGGGGGGGGGGGGGGGGGGGGTGGTAAGAGACAAAGGGGCCTGGAAGGCAGCCTCCCCCAACCCTGGGGGCAAGGCAGCCGGATAGGATCATCTGAGTATCCGGTTGGGGCAGCAGGTGGCCCAGGTGAATCCTGGTTACATCTTGGTTACCAACTCCCAGGACACGCAGGCTGGAATGTGGCCTGGGCCTCAGATTCCATAAACCTCCATCCCCTAAATCTGCTGTCCCACTGAGCATTCCACATAGTTACCCCACTGCGGCCGAGGAAGCTGCTGGGAACCAGAGCCACGCTAGGCATTTCTCCTGGGCCCACCATTGGTCCTGTGGCCCAAAGAGGGTGCAGTGAGTCCCTCAGGGAGCTCTCAGGTGGGGTCCTCAGAAAAGGCCGGGGTTGGGCCATGAGCATGTTGCTGTTCCTAATCTCTCACACATGTACCCCATCCACTCTCCCCCTGTTGCTTCACAGGCTCACACCCCTGCTGCAGGTCTCACAAGTGCTCATGCCCCACCCTAGCACAAAGAGACATTCTACTCCCAGGGCCATGAGCCCACTGGGCGCTGACTAGCTGAACGAGCCCATCCAGGAGGTTGAAGAGCCTTTCCCAGCTGATTCCCGAGGTACCCAGTGCTCTCCCGGGTACCACCCGCTACCATGTCTCTCCTAAACGGCAAGGAATATTGATGGTGCCCCTGCTGTGAGCTGTGCTTCTCTTTGGAGGACTCACTCCCAGCTCTGGATTCTAACCGCAGGTGATAAGGCAACACTTGGATTGGGGAGAAACCCAAGTCACAATGCCCCTCTCCCCTAAAGAGGGCAGGAGGGAGGAAGCTGGAAGCCAGGGGAGATTGGAGAAAGAGAGATGGGAGAGGGGGCCTGGAATAACCAGCCCACTCAGCTGGACAAGGACAGGATATAGGGAGCTTTCCGAAGGAGTCAGGTGCCTGGGTGGCAAGGCCGAAAAAAACCATCATAACCCGGGCGGGGACCCCAAGTCCCCCCCCCCGAAACCGGATCTAAGGGCTGCGGGCATCCCTCCACACCTAACCGGTACAGGTTTCCAGGCCAGTAGGAGGACCAGCCCCCACCCCGCCCAGAGAAGTCTCCCCTCCCAGCAGCCCCCTCCCCGGGACCCCGCCCTCTGAGTCTCCGCCCAGCCCGTCTCCAGCCTCACCCCCTGGTGCCTCCTCTCCAGCCCCGCCTTCTCCCTGGGGACCCGGCTCAAAGCCCCCACCCCAATTTCTGTTTCAAAGGGCCCATTCTCGGCGGGCACTGAGGCCCAGCTCGGTCTCCTTCGACCACCCCTCGCTGCCCCAAGTGACCCGACTCCCGCCGCGGGTGTCGCATCGGGTCCTCCGGAATCGGCCGGCGGTTGTGGGTCTGAGCGGATCCGGGTGGAATCGGGGTAGAGAGGAGGGGCGGGGTCGGAGTTTCCCAGATCGACCCCACAGACCGACTGTCGGGAGACTCGATCCCACCGCGACGAAGCGCCGCACAGATACGCTCCGGGGGGGGGGGGGGGGGGGGACTCGCGATTCAAAGACAGCAACGCAGACACTCACTGGCTCTCCTCCTCCGAGCACGCCCCCTCCTCTTCCCCTCCCCAACTCCCCACCGCACCCCCTCCCCTCGCGCTCCACCTTTCCCCTGGCTCCTCCCTCGGCGCCTGCGAGCACCCTCCCGCGCAGCCCGCGTGCCCTTCCTCCCTGCCTCCTCTCCCTCCTCCACCCCTCCCCCCACACTCCTCCCTTCCCTTCCCCCTCTTCCCTCCCCCCCACCTCGTTCCTAGGCTCCCACTTTCCATCACCTACTCTGGGCCTCCGTCCCTCCACATCGTCACCTGCACGCCTAACCCCGCCGTGCGCCCTCCTGCGACCCCACTCCAGCACCCCCCTGCCCCTACCTCCCCCACGGGGTGCCCCGCAGCTCCCCTCCTGCTTCCGCGCTCCCCTCCCCCCTGCCGGGCGCCGCTTCCCCGCTCCCGCTCCCTCCGCGTCTTTTCCTCTCCCCTCCCCGCGAAGTTTCGGGGCTGTCAGTCTGTCAGTCTTTCGGGCAGTCGGCACCCGAGCTACAGGCAGCGGGCGCCATTGCGAGCAGAACCGGCCGGGGCAGAAGGCCGGGGCGCCTGGGTCCCGCCAGCAGCGGGGAGACCCGACCGGCCAGCCCGCCAGGTACGGGCCGTGGAGGCGCCCAGCGGCAGGCGGCTCCGCCCGCTTCCCCTTCTACACCGACACTCAGTCACTGCCCGCTCCGCGCAGGTGACAGCCCCGGGGGTGGGGGCGCTGGGAGCGCCGGAGGGGGTGAGGTGGGGTTGGGGGGGGGCAAGAAAGGGCAGGGGAGGGGCAGGGGCTGGAGGAGGGAGGGGCTGGGGCTGGGGAGAGAGGGCCTGGCTTGGGGGTGGTCACGGTAGTCGTGAAGAGGAGGAGGACCGGGGATCTGGAGGGAGGGGCGGAGGCTGGGGAGAGAGGGCCGGGAGGGAGTCCGGTGGGAGAGGGTTGGGAGGCTCCCGAGGGGAGGGAGTGAGGAGTCTCCGGACAGGGTAGAGGGAGTGTGGGAGGGGGCCGTGGGGGAAGGGGGGACAACGAGGCCAAGGGATCTGGCCTTTTGGGAGGGGCGGGAGAGAAGGGCGCTGACAGGTGAGCCCGGGAGCCGGGGAGGGGCTGGGCCCTGGAGTGAGGTCTGGGCGAAGAGGCTCTAGGGGACAAACGGAGGCGGGGAGGTGGGACGGGAGGGGTCTGGTCGGGAGGAAAACTTGGGGGGGTAGAAGTCAGTGGGGAACAGAAATGGGGAAGGTAGCCACTGAGAGAGAGGGGAGGGAAGCGGAGGTGTGTTGGGAGGCAGGGGTGGGGAGGAGCAGGGTCAGTGAGAAGGTCCAGAGCGAGCCGTAAGCCACAGACTCCCAGGCTTGGGGGAGCCTGGGGACAAGGGGGGGAGCCTGGGGACAAGGGAGGGAGCTCGGGGAGCGGACTGGAAGGGGGAGGGGAAGAGCGGTTCTAGGGACTGGGGACCGGGAGGGTAGGGAAGCGAGAGCCTGCTGGGGAGGCAAAGGGGGAAGGGAGACGGGGGCCTCGGAGGGGAAGGCAAGCTGCAGGAGGGAGGCGGGGAGAGAGGGAGGAGGATGGTGTGGGGAGAGGGGAGGAGGGCTGGGGAGGGGGGAGGGAGGGAGGGAACTGAGGTGAAGAGAGGAAAGGAGAAGGAAGGGAAACCAGAGTGGGGGAGGAGAGGGAGAGGGGAGGGGAGTGCGGGGTGAGGGAGAAAAGCGGGGAGGAGGAGGGCGGCGTTAGGGAGGAAGGAAAAGAGGAGGGGGAAAGGAAGGGAGAGGGTGTGCAGCCGGGGAGGGGGATGGAGCCTGGGGGAGAACCGGGAGGGAAGGGAAAGGCGGCCCTGAGCCGGGGGAGGAGGAGGGGAGCTCTGTCGCCGAGACTGCCC